CCCGCGATCTGCCCCAGCATGCTCTCATCCCCCCTGCCACTCCATCCAACCCAGGTACAAGCCAGAGCCCTTCAAGATCTTCACCGAGTCGGTGATGAACCTGAAGTTTGACGAGGAGCCAATGTACGCGGCCCTGATCAGCCTGTTCGAGCCGCTGCTGGGGTCGCCCTCGGCCGCCCGCCCCATCCAGGTGGAGAACGCAGTGCGCGTGGGGCAGAAGCGTGGGCGGGAGCAGATGGAGGAGTTCCGGGACGACGCGGTGCGGCGCAAGAAGGTGCGCCTCGGCTACCCCGCCAGCCAGTGGATCAGCGTGTACAACAAGCACGCGCCGATGAAGCAGCGGTACCACTACAACGTCTCCAACCACCGCCTGGATGTGCACGTGGCCAAGGGCTACGCCGACGGCCTCTACATCTCCTGCGTCTGCGCCGCGGGCGAGCTGTGGGCCATCATCATGGACGCGGGGACCGGATTTGGGGACCAGGTCTACCGCGTGGCCCCCGCCGCCTTCCTGCCCAAGGACTGGATCATGGAGCAGTGGGACCGCGGATACTACATCACCGCCATCGCCGGGTCCAGCAGCCTCAGCTCCCTGGTGGTCATGAGCAAGGGCACCAAGTTCACACAGCAGTCGTACAAGATCTCCGACTCCTTCCCCTTTGAGTGGATCAAGAAGAAGTGGAGGGAGGCTTTCCACGTCACCGCCATGGCCACCTCCGGCTCCCAGGTGGGTGGCTGTGAAGGGGAGGAAAGGGTGTGTGGAAGGGGGGTTTACTTCCGTCCCTTTTTTTGGGGGGGGGGGAGGGGGGGGCGGGCAGGCTCATTGGGTGAAAGGGTGGGTGGCTGACGCAGGGGCCCCCCTTCCCTGCTCCCGACGTCGCCCTTCACTCCCTCCTCACCACCCTCTCCCATCCATGACGACGACGGCAGTGGGCGGTGGTCATGTCGCGCGGCGCCGGCTTCATGGACCAGGTGGTGGAGCTGGACTTCCAGTACCCCTCGGAGGGCGTGCACCGGCGCTGGGACCTGGGCTACCGCATCACCGCCGGCGCGGCCACCGCCGACCAGGCCGCCTTTGTGCTCTCCGTCCCGCGCCGCGTCATCCCCGACGAGACGCAGGAGACGCTGCGCACCTCCACCTTCCCTTCAGAGCACGTCAAGGAAAAGTGGGCGAAAGACCTCTACATCGCGGGCATCGCCTACGGCAGGACGGTCACGTGAAGCGAGGGATTCCGGGAGGGCGGCGCCTGCCCCTCCCTACGACCATGGAGGGGCACCGCTGGCGTGCCGGGGGCGGGCGGGAGGCGCCGGGGGCGGCGGGGCCCATCGGATCCCCCTGCCCCAAACAACGGATGTGAGACTGCCGCTCAGCCTCGGGGTGCATCCCCCTCGCCGCCTCCGCCTCCCCATGATACCAGGATCCCGTATCGGCATTTGCGGGCGGCCAGTGGTTATATTCTTCAGTTTCTGCTTTCTATAAGACCGCAGTCTGCATTTTTTATGGAACACCCACTTCCCTCGGTGCCTGGAGTTTGCAACTCGTCACGAACTCAAGTGAGGGAAACGAGGGGGGGTGTCACGCGCATGCAGGGGGGGTCTCTAACGAAGAGCCTCTAACGAAGGGCGCGCCCTAGCAACCTGCCTGCGCGCGCAGGCGCCATGCATGCACGTTCACGTATAGTCGAAGTTCTTTCTACAAGGACTGCAAGAATGAATACCGAACAATCATTGCACATACACCTCCTGCCTGCCATCGCGTAAACCCCTGAAGAAGAGCCCAGGCGAGCGACAAGCCCTGTGAGGACATGGTGGAAGAGGGCGGCATCGCCCTCTTCGCCCGGCCTCCTTCCAAGCTCAAGACAAGACCGAGGAAGGAAGACAATGCACTACCCAAGACCGTGACTCGCCCCGCAGTGGTGTCGGTGCCTCCCAGTGGCGCCAAGGCGGGTGAGGACGACACCGCCACCTTTCGCTCGCTGGGGCTCTCCGACTGGATGGCGGGGGTGTGCCGCGGGCTGGGCATGCCGTCGCCCACCGCCGTGCAGCGTGCCTGCATCCCCGCCATCCTGGCTGGGCGGGACGTCATCGCGGTGTCCCAAACCGGGACGGGCAAGACGGCAGCCTTTGCACTGCCCATCCTGCAGCTGCTGGCGCGCGACCCCTTTGGCGTCTTTGCCCTGGTCCTGACGCCCACCAGGTGGCTGGGAAGATGGATTCTTGCTTGTTGGAGGATGGCCTGAGGAGTGTAGGATCGACCCTCGCATTCTGAGCTGGCACACCGCTGCTGAGGGCGCACACACGCTCCCCCCCATTACCTCCCCCAGGCTGATACCTTGTCCCTCCCAGACCAAACCTTCGCCCCCTCTCTTCTCATGCACGCGCAGGGAGCTGGCGCTGCAGCTGGCCGACCACTTCCGTGCGCTGGGGTCCGGCGGCGCGCTGCGCGACGCGGTCATCATCGGCGGCGTGGACGGGCAGGCCCAGGCGCGCGCGCTAACGCAGCGCCCGCACCTGGTGGTGGCCACGCCCGGGCGCCTGGCGGGGCTGCTTGCCCAGGACCCCGGGCTGGCCGCCTGCCTGGCCCGCGTGCGCTGCTTAGTGCTGGACGAGGCGGACCGCATGCTGGACGCCAGCTTCGAGCCGGAGCTGGCCACGGTGTTGGCGGCGCTGCCGGAGGAGCGCCAGACGCTGCTCTTCAGTGCCACCATGACACGCACGCTGGTGGGCCTGCAGCGCGACCTCCTGCGCGACGCCTTCTTCTACGAGGCCTACGCCGGGCTGCAGACCGCCGCGCGGCTGAGGGAGGAGTACATGCTCCTACCGCAGAAGGTCGGTAATCGTTTGGGGGGGTGGGGGAGCCTGATCAGAGTCCTCCTCGGGGGCTGGGGCGTGCCTGTCGCCCCACGTGGCCAACCAGGCTGGGTTGGCGTCGAGGCATGAGTGGGCTTGATGCAGAGGAAGAGTGAGGAGCCCGAGGCTTTGCAGCCACCCCATGCGCCCCATGCTCGGTCATGTTGGACCCATGTCCCTCCCAGCGCTACAGTATGCACCTCAGCACACACTTCTCCTTTGCCTCCTCGTGCACAGGTGAAGGAGGTGTACCTGGTGTACCTCTTGGAGCAGCTCGAGGCGCTGAAGCTGCGCTCCGCCATCGTTTTTGTCTCCACGCGCCGCAACTGCTCCCTGCTCCAGCACCTCCTGGCCGAACTGGGGATCAAGGCCGCGGCGCTGCACTCCGGCCTGCCCCAGCGCGACCGCGTGGCGGCGCTGGACAGGTTCCGCGCGGGCGTCGTGCCTGTGCTGCTTGCCACCGACGTGGCCGCGCGCGGGCTGGACATCCCCGACGTCGATCTGGTGGTCAACTACGACCTGCCCCACCTTGCGCGGGATTACGTGCACAGGTGCGTGTGTGGGGGCAGCGTGTGTGTAGTGGGGTGGTGGATGTATTGAAGTGTGGGTGCAACTGCACCTGGAGTGCACAACAGTGTTCGTGCAAGGCCTCTTTTTGGACCTCATGGCCATGTAGGTTGCTCCTCAGGGTCCTCCTCAAAGGGTCCACAGCAGGGCTGGGTAGATGCACAATCTGTGCACCCCTCCATGCCATACCAGCCCCTGATGCCACCGCTCGGCCCCCCTCACCAAATCCATCTTTGCAGGGTTGGCAGGACGGCCCGCGCAGGGCGTGCCGGCTGGTCCCTGAGCTTCGTGACGCAGTATGATGTGGAACTAGTCAGGGCCATCGAGGGCCTACTGGGCAGGCAGCTGGCGGCCTTCGAGGCGCCGGAGAAGGAGGTGCTGGCGGGGATCACCAAGGTCTATGCCGCGCGGCGCATGGCGGCCCTGCGCCTGGCGGAGGAGGAGGACGCGGCGGGGGCGACAGGGCAGCGGCGGAAGAAGACGCGGCCGGCCGAGGCAGAGGCCGAGCGGCCAAAGGGGAGGCCGGGCGGGGAGCGCACCCCGAAGACGGCCACCATTGCACGGGAGGAGGTGTGACTGTCGATGACCCTCGAGCTTGTGTGGCCCTGTACATGAAATTGACTCACTGCACTGATATCGCTGCGTCTCCCGCTTACAGTATACTTTATTGTAACCTTCTCTGCAGCTCTTGGAATATGGGTCCAGTGGGAAGTGCTGGCTCTTGCTGCTGTTTCCATTGCAGCTGTCTGGGGACAAGCCCATCAGGGCTCCCTGCTGAGAAGAACCTCGGTGTTACAGCAGTCCACATCCAACATACAGCACGCGCACATCATGCCTCTGCTTTGGCGATGCGGGCCCACACCCTCTGGAAGGCCGAGGCCGAGACGGTAGTCTCGCCGGGGGCCAGACCCTGTGCAGACACATGCAGGGCGAAGAGCAGGTCCTTGATGGGGACCCTTTCGCCGTACAGGGTCTCGGCCGCCGCGGAGAACTGGAAGGAGCGGAGGTGTTAAGAGGGGAGATGATGGTGCTTGCATCAAACCAGATGCGTCAGAGCATCAGGATGACTTTGGGAATACGTGCAGCGGACAACACTGCCGGGCCAACACGGCATCGTCCTCTTCATCCCTCTCACAACCAAGCACCCACGCAGCGAGCAATGCCCCACCCCACTCACGTCCACACCGCGTGGCGCGCCGCTCGCCGCCAGGACCATCTGCACGGCGGTGGAGTCCAGTGGGGGCACCTCTAGCTCCAGCTGGAAGTACTTGCTGAGGCCCAGGGTCTGGCAGCAGAGGGGGAGATTTGGGGTCGCGCTCAAGATGCTGTGAACCCTTGCTTGGGCGAGAACAGCAGAGCGACGTGATGGCAGGCCACATCTCCTTGTGCTTGACTACGGGACACACGCTGTTGAACCTGTCACCCCCTCCCACACCGAATCCCGCTCTCATCAACACCTGCATCATCTCCTTGTTGCTGGTGGTGCCGATGACAAACAGGTGGTGCCCGGGGGGTGGCAGCTTCTTCAGCGACTCAATCAGCACGCTGAGCACGGCGTCGGCATACCGCAGGCCCACGCTGCGATAGGCCAACAGGTTCTCGATGTCGTCCAGCACGATCAGCGACAGCGGCGACTTTGGGGGTGCAGGAGGGGGGATGGAGAGAGGAGGAGGACTTGAGAGGCCCTGTGCCCAATGCCTGATGCAGGAACGAGATGCGAGACTCCCCCTGGGTCAGCCCTCACTCCTCTTTGACCCCATGCTCCTCCCGCCTCGCCCACCCTGTAGGCCTCCTCGAAGACCTTGGTGATCTGGGAGCAGCGGGCGGCGTCCGAATACCCCACCATGGAGTCGGTGGTCACCACCTTGACAAAGGGAAACCCGCTGTCGATGGCCAGGGTGGAGGCCAGGGCTGCAAAGGTGTGGGAGGAATTGGAGGGGGACGAGCATGACGATACCCTGCCCACAGCGCAGCGTGCATGCCAGTGACAAACGGCCAGAGTCGCAGCCTCTCAAAGGGCTCACCCCAATCGCCCTTGTTCCCTCGTCACCCAGCCCACAGCAATAGGCAATAGCTCATGCCAGCACCACCCCAACCATGCACCACCCCAGCCATGCACACCGAGCCTCACCCGTTTTCCCCGTTCCGCTGTCGCCCCAGAGCAGGGCGGCGGAGAGGGGCACCGCCTCCTGCTGCTCCACGCTTTCCAGCAGCTGCTGCAGCTCCGCCAGGGTGGCGTGGTACTGCGGCCCGATGTCCAGCATTCCGCCCGGTCGGTACTGCTCCAGCGTCTCGGTGGCGGCGCCGTAGGAGGGCCTCACCTCGTCCAGGGCGCGCAGGAAGTCGGCGCGCGTGACGCGGATGTTCTCCTCCACCACCGGCTTGGACAAGTCGGCCATGTCGGTCTCGCGGTCCAGCGCAAAAGAAGTTGCGGAACGTACCAACCCCTCTAATTCGGCGCCACTGCAGCAGGGGGGGTGGGGGCGAGGTCAAAGTAATAGGGGTAATTGGTGCATGGACTCTTCCATCACAGCTGCAGGTGCCGCTCCAATGCACTCCAGAGCATGGCGCCCCAGCCTCTCCCCTTCCCGAGCAATGTGCGGCCTGAACCCTGCCACCCAATTTTCCACCTGTAGTTTTGGGTGCGGTGCGCCAGCTCAGCGAGATCCACGTCCCCTGCCAGGAAGCCGTGCTCGCTCATGTTCCTGGTGTGAATCTGTGTGTCAGGGGCGTGCAGTAGCATGAGACAGAAGGGCGTAGAGGCGTACCACAGAATTGAGTCAGCAGGGAGACAGGCTGCCCATGTGTTTCCGTGCACACAAAGCACAACCTCCCCCGTCGATTTCATGGGTATGTGCACCCTGCTTGATGTCCTCATTCACCATCCCCACAACACGACTCCTCACCTTGAGGATCTGGAGGCGGCCGTTCTCATCTGGCAGGCCGATCTCCATGTGGACGTCCAGCCGCCCCTCACGCAGCAAGGCCTCGTCCAAGAGCTCCAGGCGGTTGGTCATCCCAATCACCAGTATGTTGTTCAGCGCGTTCACGCCGTCGATCTTGGTCAGCAGCTGGTTGACGATGGTGTCGTGCACGCCTGACCCGTCCCGCACGCTGCCGCGAGACTGCAGAGGATGGATGGAGAGAGGCAGGGGTGAATTGGAGGTGGTGGCGCCCGTGACGGCGACGGAGTCAGCGGATGAAGAAGTTTGCGGTCCGAACTCCATGACGGAACAAAGATCGCTTGGCAACCTCAGCAAGAAGTGGGTATCCCTTGTGGAGGGAAGCGCAGGTGGCATGTCCCACCTTGCAAATGGCGTCTATCTCGTCAAAGATGATGACATGCAGCTCGGAATCGTCCCCGTTCTTCAGGTAGTCTTCCTCGGCGTCCTGTGCACGGTAGGTTTAGATTTTACTGATGTAAGTACTCGCGTTGAGTCCTTGGGTTGGGAACCACATCCTCCTTTAGCTCCTGCATTTCCGTTAATCCAGCACAAGGTCGCTGTGTGCACCCCCACCCCACCCCCCATGGCTGCTTGCCCAGACTCAGCATCCGTATTTGAAGCTCCCCCCAACCCTGCCCTTCATACCAACGCTCACGCCTTACCTTGAAGAGATTCCGGATGTTCTCTTCTGAGGCCCCCACATACTTGTTGAGCACCTCAGGCCCGTTCACCACCTTGGGCTCCTTGCCGTTCAGCATCATGCCCAGCTGCCGGGCAATCAGCGTCTTCCCCGTGCCTGAGATGGGGGTGCCAGGCGTGCATATTCTGGGGCCTGCAAATGTGCATTTCCAGCCGTGCACAAAACCCTTCCCCTCCACATTATTGCCGCCAGCTTGGACGTCACCCCAGCACCATGCTGAGAATGCAAGAGATGATCGGCCCACACTCTACCAAGCATCTCACCTGGCGGCCCATAGAGCAGGATGCCTTTCCGGTGTTTGATCCCCAGCCGCTCCACAACCGAGGGGGGGAGGCGCCGGGACTCGAATGCTCGCCTGGTGGTGTAGAGGGGAGCTGGCCGTGATGAGGAGACAAAGGATACAGCCAAGGATGCACATCCTCTCAACCATTGCATACAGTGAGTCTTAACAACCTTGCAGCCTGAAAAGCAGAACCCTCCTCATGCTCACTTCACGGGATACTGCTGCCTCCTCCCCCAGTGCCCATCTGCCAGACCTGAACATCTCCCGGAACTGGGAATCCAGGCCTCCGATACCCAGCTTCTCAAAGGACACCTCGCGCTGCTTGAACAGCTGGGAGGTCATGATGCTGGGGGGCGAGGGGTGTGATGGGGGAGTGTGGAGCTGTGCCACAATCATCATGGACACGCAACCAGGCATGTACTACACTCCTGACGAGCTGGAATCCATTCGAGAGATCCTGCCAAGTGCAGCCAGTAATGCACGCGGCGCTGATCCAAAGCCGCCCGCCCCACCTCTTCTGGCCCACAATCTTGATGCCGCTCCCCTTTCTTGTTTCAAACACGCAGCTGGTGGCCAGGGACAGCATGGCCCGCGGCACAGTCTGCTGCTCCCCCCCTGGCACCACTACGGTCAGCGTGCTGACTCTCAGCAGGTAGTTGAGGCCCTGGAACTCAAAGGTCAGCTCCTGACCCGATGTGAAGACCTGTGAGGGGGTGGGGTGATGGCAGTGTCCTGCTGGCAAGCACACAGGCGGATGGCTTGGACAGCCATGGGACTGAGACAGTCTCCATACGTATAGCATGGAGGCCTTATGGGGTAGAACCACTCCAGCATCGAGATGCAGCCATTGATTCAATAGATTCCTATCCAGAGGCCACTCCACAGCCTGAACTCGTTGCTCCACAAGCAACAAGCAACTCTCTTCGGCATGCACTCGTCACCTGGTCTGCAAATCTGGACTGGATGTGGGTCTCCACCTCGGGCGCAGGCAGGTCTACCTCCCCCCCGCGTCGCGAGATGGGCTCCAGCTCGGCGTTGAGGAGCACCGCACCAAAGTGGGTCCCAGGGGGGGTGAAGGGCTGGGCCGCCACGGTGTCCCCTGAGCTCGCCCGGATGACCCTGCGCTGGATCGCATTCATGCCAACCTTGCCCGGCTGCATGCTGGGCTCCTCCTCCGCCAGAAAGACACTGTGCAAGGGGTGGATGAAGGTGCGCGGCTGACAACTCGAAGAGCCTGCTGCCAGGCCATGGTATGTCGACTGACCCACAAAAAGGACTCACTAGCTGGATATCTCGAGATAGGCTGTGCCTTTTGCCAGAGTCCTCGGGGCCACAAACACCTTGTTTGTCTTGGCCAGATCCTGCTCCGTGGGGAGGGGCGGAGGTGTGTGCTGGAGTGATCTTGCGGGCAGCAGTTACAGCAAGCATGATCTCGTGAATGTGCCGACCGCGTCGAAGCATCTCACCTGGGAAGGACAGTTTGCCACCACTAGATCCATGGCCGAAGGTGTCCACCTCTACCCAGTCCCGTAACACTGGGGTGTCGGTTCTCCGCCTCTTTACCGGAGCCAGGAACTGACTCTGCCGGGCACTCGCTACCCTATAATTTATCCAGGATCAATCAGATGATTCAAGACATCCTGCACTGATCATCTGTCAGAGCACCCAGCAGCGCTGATGGTCTTCCCCGAGAGCTCGCGCCCAGCTGAAACCGTGCCGTGTGGGGCACCCCGCTGCTGCTGCGCACGTGCTAAGGAGTGAGAGTGTGACTAAGTCAGAAGGGAATATGTGGTGAGCAAGGGGAGAAACCCGTGGCCCACTCTGAGACAAACATCCTGGATTGATATGCGCCTAGGATGGTAGTCTCAGCTTTAGGCCTCTCCGGGCGGAGGGGGGCCCTGGCCGCCCTCCGCGCCCTTGGGCGAAGCAGACCCAGCCAGCAGGTGGGGCCCCAACCCCAAGCATGGAGTGCACGACCAGCCTGCGATCGATGAAATAGATCCCCGATACTAAAATTTACCCCACAACATCTCGCAGACCGGTGCAGCTGCATGTGTTTGGGGGTTGTTGAGGAGCGATGCCGCGGCTTTCTCAAGTGAGTTCGACCATTCCACACATCCCTCGGTCGCCGGTCGTTGACTTGCCATCTTTATGTTTATGAATTCCTTAACTTTCCTCTTGACCAGGCCTACATGGCGTGCCGTCTGTGGGTTTTAGCCTCCGGGCCCTGCCCACGACAGCCAGCTGGGTGCCGGCTGTTCGCTGCATCTCCAGCACGCCTGCAGCCTGGAAGACCGTGGAGGTGGAGGTTCCCAGCATGGGAGAGTCCATCACCGAGGGAACCGTCGCCACCATCCTGGCCCAGCCAGGTACTTTGGAGGGCGGGATGGTCTCCTGGGGAAGGCTGTCTTCCTTTACTTTAGCTTGGTCATGGATCTTGTTTTCTGGATGATCACAAAGACTGAAATCAAACGCCACCTTTGTACACACATGATGCAAGGCCTGTCTCGCAGTTCCAACCCCTTGACCCTCCTCGCTTAACCAGGCGAGACGGTGGAGGAGGACTCCGTGCTAGCCACGCTGGACACCGACAAGGTCTCCATGGACATCAAGTACCCCAACAAGACCCCGGGCGTGGTCAAGGAGTACAAGGCGGCGGAGGGCGACACGGTCACCGTGGGCCAGCTCTTTGCGGTGATTGAGGAGAGTGAGGGCGGTGCCGCCCCCGCCAAGAAGGAGGAGGCGCCCAAGGAGGAGGCGCCAAAGGAGGAGGTGCCCAAGAAGGAGGCGCCCAAGAAGGAGGAGACAAAGAAGGAGGAGCCGAAAAAGGCCTCCCCCCCGCCCAAGAAGCCTGAGCCCGCTTCTAAGCCGGCCGCCGCTCCCGGCGGCGCCCCCCTCTCCTCCGGCCCCCGCCCCGAGCGCCGGGTGAAGATGACGCGCCTGCGAGCCCGCGTGGCGGAGCGCCTGAAGAACGCGCAGAACACGTACGCGCTGCTGACCACCTTCAACGAGGTCGACATGACCGCGCTGATGGACCTGCGCAAGGCCCACAAGGACGCCTTCCTGGAGAAGCACGGCGTCAAGCTGGGCTTCATGTCCGCCTTCGTCAAGGCGGCGGCCAACGCGCTGGAGACGGTGCCGGCGGTGAATGCGGTGATCGACGGCGGCGACATCATCTACCGCGACTATTACGACATCTCGGTGGCGGTGGCCACGCCCAAGGGGCTGGTGGTGCCGGTGCTGCGCAATGTGGATGCCATGAGCTTTGCCACGGTGGAGAAGACCATCAACGAGCTGGGGAAGAAGGCGCGGGACGGCGCGCTGTCCATCGACGAGATGGCGGGCGGCACCTTCACCATCTCCAACGGCGGCGTGTTTGGCTCCATGCTCTCCACGCCCATCATCAACCCGCCGCAGTCCGCCATCCTGGGCATGCACGCCACCAACATGAAGCCCGCGGTCGTCGACGGCCAGATCGTCGCCAGGTGCGCGCGTGAGGGTGTGTTCTTGGGGTGGGTGAGGAGGGGGGGTCCCGTCACCATGCAACTTTTGGACTTGGGGACTGATGCTGATAGGCTGGGGGGCGCTACTCACATGTATGTGGCCAGGGAGGGGTGCGATGAGGGGCGGCATCTTCAGCCCCATGGCATGAGGAGGACGGGGAAGCATTCTTTAGAGACCACACCCCTTGGTTACTGCGCTGCACGCCCCCCTCAGCTGGCTCCCCTCCAGCCAATCCTCTACCCACCTGAACTTCAGGCCTCTCATGTACCTGGCACTGACTTACGACCACCGCCTCATCGACGGGCGCGAGGCGGTCACCTTCCTCAAGCGCATCAAGGAGGTCATCGAGGACCCCCGCCGCCTGCTGCTGGATGTCTGAGATCGGGCGCCACCGGCCCCGACACTCATGCAGCCCTTCAGCACCACTGGCTGAACTCACACCCACGCCGTGAGGCTGATGCCCCCCCATCTCGACACTGTTAGCATAAGGTAGAAGAGGACAGGCCAGAGTAGTGAAAGGGAACAGAAGCCGCGGTTAAACCCTAGCCTGCGGACCCATTCAGCAGGGCATCACCCACGCTCACGGAAGGCGTGATTCGGGGGGCGTCCCGCCTGCTTCAGCCATCTGCCAGCTTCAAGTACCACCCACCCGCAGGCTCTCCGGCCGATTGAGATCCAGTAGCGCATCAAGTGATGACAGCGCACCAAGTTTTGATCGACCCACCGCGCA